TCTCCAAAATGGCACCAGGGTGACGTGGAGCAGACAAATTGTTGAATAAAGTCGTTATTTGTTTTCTTTGCGTACAAAATGTATTCTCGTAGCTTCGTAATATTACGGTTGAATCCCTGATGTCACATGGATTATTTTACCGATCTCCTTGCTACGTATCTGCACCTTGATTGTGGTAATTACATTCAGGGTCAAAGAGCTCTCAGAATTCATAAGATATCTTAATTTGTGTTCCAAAGATGAACTGGGGTCTTACGGATTTGGAACGACATGAGGGTGAGTAATTAATGACAGAATTTTCATTTTTGGGTGAACTATCCCTTTAAGATTCTTATATAGAGAACATTTCATGGAACAACAAACCGATATTTATACCGTCACAAAAAAATAACACTGATGCTGTCATACAGAGACAATGTCATGCAACAACAAATCTGACCATTGTGACATGAAAAAACAGCACTGCCATATTGAGAACATTTCATGGTTCAACAATATTTATATGCTCTGTCTTTGTGCTAAAGCATTTAATAGTAAACTTTTGTCTGCTTTGTGAGAACATGAAAGCCTCAAATCCTATTGTCATAATATTTTGTCTAGAAGGTGTGATGAAAGAAAGATTCTTTTGAAGCAGGGTGAAGCCAGTTCGTGTGATAATTGTAATTAATCATAATTAATTGTAATTATTTATATACATTTCCCTTTTGAGCTAATTTGCTACACAGTTGTCACTTAATATTTGTGTGGAAACCATGACAGATTGTTCAAGGAAATTAAAAAAGACAGCATTTATTTGTTTGTAACAATGTAAAAGTCTTAACTGTGATTTTGGATCAATTTGATGCATCCTAGCTGAATAAAAATATTAATTTCTTTTTAAAAAATTCTTACCCCAACCTTTGTACAGTAGTGTGTGTATACAGTGGGTACGGAAAGTATTCAGACCCCCATGGGGTGCTGTGTGTACATTAATGAGGAAAAAAAATTAACAAATTATTTTAGCAAATGGCTGCAATATAACAAAGAGTGAAAAATTGAAGGGGGTCTGAATACTTTCCGTACCCACTGTATGTGTTTATTTTTCCTTTTTAAATGCTTCTTTTAATAAAATGATGATTGTGATTTGTACTGATGATGCTGACAAATATTTTACAATTTTAAAGTTTACAAAACACAAAACATTTGTGTTTATATTAGTATTACAATGATTGTGATCTTTATTTATGATGGCAGAAGTTTTTAAGTTTACAAAAAATATAAGCATGTTGCTCTGGGTATTATTTATTTTAGTATTTATATAATATTATGATGATTGTGATTAGTATTGATGATGATGACGAATGCTTGGATTTAGATTTTTTTCTCAGAGGATACAAAAATTCTAGACAGATAGCACAGTACACCTAAAGTTTACAATTACCTACGAAACAAAGTTTAAATGGTGCCTGGAGTGGAATATATTGAGTAGTTTAAGGCTAAAATAATTGCAGATATTTGTGAAGAACAAAATGAATAAAGATGAGAGAAATTTCGTTACAGTGCTCGCCTTGCAAACACTGTAAAAATCTAGGTTTATGTAGAGTAGAGACCCACAGAGATCAGAGGAAAACATCAGGACCACTTCACAGTAGAGAGCCAGAAAGATCAAAAAGAGCAGAGTTATACCAGTCAACAGTGGTAAGAAACAAGCTACATCAACCCAAACACCGCAAAGCATGAAATGTAAGGACGTGAGCGAAGAAAGGAGAGAGACACAGAGAAGGAAATGAAAAGCGACTAAGATGATGTCGACAGAGAATCACGCAGAGAGAAAGTGGGAAGGGGGAGTTAGGCGATGGAGCGTTTCATCAGCGTTGCTGCAGCCACACCTGTCTGTGCTCATTTTTGTGACTATGCAACTGGAACCAGACTACTAGCTGCAAACCACAAAAATGACACAGACAGCTGTGCAATACTCGCTACTGCGCTCCATCGCTCTCAGAAAGAGGCAGAGAGTGGGTAAGAGGTTCAAAGAGACAGTGGTAAAGAGGCTGAAGAGAATGGAGGAAATAAGAGTGAAGAGTGATGGAATGACATCATGTAATGGCAGCTGGAAGAAAAGAGGGAGCAAATGGAGAACTTGAGGTGGAAATGACATACACATATATGCACATAGAGCTGTCACAATTTTGGAATTTTGGGTACAATAACATTTGCCTAATAAAAATTGCAATTAATTATTTCATCTTTTTTTTTGTGTATGACACTTAGTTATAATGTAAACTTACTACACAAACAGCTTAAGAACTTATTTGTTTAACCTGAATTTAAAAATGTATAATTTCCAGCTGTAGACTTAGAATTAACATTTTATTATAATAATAATAAATGTTAAAATATTTATAATTTTTAAATATTACCCAGCCCAACTTAATATATAATAAATAAAAATAAATTGTAAATAAACAAAATACAAACATAAATAAAATTCAAATAATAATAATGATAATAGTTCTCATTTTTTTATATACTATTATTACTATTATTATGCATTAACTTTCCGTACTCTTCAGATTTGTACAACAGTTGCGGTTACCTCAAATAATTACCATTAAAGCAAACGATCATGACCAGGCGATTATTAGGCCTACATAGATGTGTAAATAGTAATATATACTTTAATACGATATATATACAGAAAATAGAAATACATACATACTATGTACAGTATGTGTGCAAGGATGCGCAGTACCTGCGGAAGTCCAGCAGAGGCCGAGTGGAGGTGGGTATTCCCTGTGCAGGCCAGCTCAGGAAGTGGAATTGAGTGAGGGTACGAGTTTCCTGGGTTTGGACGTTCTTCAGGTAGAAACTCCGCACCAGGAAGTCATTACACCAGATATGCTCAGACACCAGGTTCACCTGAGTGAGATAATTAAAGGTGAACACAATATTTGATGTGGTTTACACTACATAAAACAAACATCTCAGGACATCTTATTAGGTTCACAAGTAACATTTTCACTCAAACCTCATAAATGTGGTAGAGAGAAGAGCCCTCATCGGGCCAGTAATGATCACACTGCTTTTCTCCTTCCTCAACCAGAGCCGTCATCATCACTATGACCGTACATCCGCTCTCCCAAACCATCTGTGCAACATACATGGCTTACAAAATATGCCATTCACGCAGTATTTACAGTACATGAATGCACAGCAAATAAGCGCTAATTCATACATAGAACTGTGTACAATTTTCTAAATACACTACCATTCAAAGATTTGTTTTTAAAACTTCTATGTTCTTCTATGTTCACCAAGGCTGCAAAACCAAGGCTTCACTTTTCTATTTTATTATATTTTAAAGTTTGTTTGTTTTTTCTGTGATGGCAAAGCTGACATTTCTGCAGCCATTACTCAAGTGTCACAAGTGGTGCAGCTTCATATTTTTTATGGAAAAGCTAAATATTTTTTTTATGTAAACCGTGGTACATTTTTTCAAGATTATTTTACCAAGCTTATAAATCAATTTAATGCATCCTTGGTGAATAAAAGTATTAATATCATCATTGAAAAAATTTTTATTTCATTGACCCCAAACTTTCAAATGGTAGTGTACATTTCAAGCAACTTGTATTTCTTTATATCAAATGATTACATAGCTATCAAATCCACACACATGTGACTGACCTGCCAGAAATCAGAGATGGTGTGTGAGAGAGGGCCTTGGGTGGCAATATACGCAGGCATCCGGGGGTCATGCTCGATCTAAAGGGTCAATAGGGGACGAAAGGTCAGGGGTCAGTGTTTTAGCCCTTCTTAACCCTGAATCTGCCAATCACCGTGACAACAGGCCATTAATGTGATCTGAGGCACATGAAGGCTTAATTGATGATCCCTTGTTCTCGACCACAACAGAGCAGCAAGAGATTCCCAACCTAAACATCCTGAATGAGATCAATACAATGTAACCATGGCAACACTGAGAGGGGGATTCAAAAACCAGTGGCAGCCTTGGAAGTCTATGAGGAATAAATGGATTATCACCTTGGTAACAAAAAGGGATGCAAGGAAAGTAGGGTTTTCTAGCTTTAGATTTTTATCTTAGATTTCAGCTAAAGAGAGGAGGAAAAGGACCATAATAAAGTCTCTTCAAACTGTCATGTTTCATGATGAGTTCCAGGGCAAAGAGGATCATCAAGTTCACATACTTACAATGGTGCTGGCGTTGATGTAATCTGTCCTGGAGGGGTTAATCTCAGCCTTCAGCTTCACTCTAGAATGGTCATCTGCAAAAACAACTGACAGTTACACTCCTAATCCATTAAAAAGAGGAGAAGTCAATCGAGTTGTGTGACGAGACACAGGATGCGTTCCAATTTGCGTACTTCTGCATTATTCTCTGCCATTTTTAGTATAAATAGTGAGTTGTGTGTTCTTACAGAAAATTTCCAAAAAGACAAAGTGGGCACTAACCGTTCAGGCACACTTACATAGAAAATGAAGGAGTTTCAAGACTAGCAGGGGGGTGGGGAAGCTTTGAGGTCTTACTCACAGGGCACGGCATCAGAGCAGCGGTTCTTCTTGACGTTACTTTTACTCTGGGCAGCTGAGATGGTGCTGGGTTCTGCCTGGTAGGAGCACAGAGCCTCCCACTCTTTGAGCAAACGGTCTTTATTCTTCAGATGATCCTCCATATATGCCTAGAAAGCATGAGAGAGACAAACACCAGTATAGAGACCCCTGATTTCTCAGCTGCTCATTCATGTGACACTTAAAAAACATGTGAAAATTTAGAGAATGCCAATATACCAACACAATTAAAACAGAAACAAAACATTCTTTGTAAAACCATGGAGTAAATATGAATGTGTATAACTGGCTGGAGGGCAATTCATATTCAAAGCGTTAACCAAAGGGAAAAAACTAAGGGTCGTTCACACCAAAGACTATACCTATAACTACAAAGAGTTCCACTTCATTTGTATAGTGTACATATTGTTACAATGTAATTAAACAACAAGTAATGAAAAAAAAATAATTAACTACATGTACTTACTATAGTGTTAAGGTTAGGGTTTGGTTTAGGTGTAATTATGCATAATTTACTGTAATTACTATAGTATGTACATGTAATATGAGTAACTGTCACCTTAAAACAAAGTGTTATCCTATACATTTTTAATAATTGTTTTAATTCTGAGAATAGGCAAGTCCACACCAACACTATAACGATAATGGCACAGAGGAACGATATCACTGGAATCACTTTCAGAATTTCCTTTTTCCCAGTTGATGAATGATAAAGACGTTGACATCTAATCAGAACCACTCGACCTTAAAAAGCACAAAGATTTAAAGTGCCAGACGACAAAAGTGCAGCATGTGCTTATAATAAACAGAATGTTATCATCCATTATGGTGGATGCTAATATAGTTATCGTCATAGTTATCATTCTTGGTGTGAATGGGCCATTAATGTTATGCGCTGGAAATTCATTTTTCATTTTTCTGCATCTGTAAATAAGGGTATGCGTGTCTACCAGTATCATGTGCCCTGTAGAAATATCCATGTTAGACTGCGCTGGCTCCTCACACCAGGAGGGGGTGCTGCTGTGCGAACTAGGGCTTGGCTGAGGTGCATCACTGAACTGTGACGACACACTGCTGACTCGTGATGTATCCGTTCCTCCTCCACCACCACCTCCTCCTGGACCAGCACCACCTGCAGCTCCAACCCCGCAGTCCTGCCTTCCAAGAGAGGACTTAGTAGCCATGTGCTGCCGACAAAGATCCTGAGAAATTAAGAAAATAGATATTTCAAAAGAGGATGTGAGAAAAAGACTACTGACAAATTGCAGCACATGCTGCATATGCAATTCACAGTAACTGAATATTGCAGCTAATCAATTTGCTCTGGTTTGCTTATTCTCAAATCAACTAAATCTGATCACATTAGTGTCTGACAGTATCATGCCATCACGAGCAAAGCTGCTAAAATCAGTTGGGATCAAAATAGCTTGGATGCAGAGAATGTCTATATTGCAGAGATGCGATGCAGTGCGCATGCCAAACAGTTCCAAACCTGGTACTCATAATGCGTCACATTTCCTGCTTCAGGTCCAAGTCCTAGTTTCCCTGAGGCCAACTGGCGGGCATGGGTGCACAGACAGGTCAGTGCTCCCACCAGGAGTCCACCCACACAAGCCACACCCACAAACATGAGGAACACCCACTGGGTGTTGTCACGTACACGTGTTGCCACTGGCAACGCATGGCCATCATTCTTCTACAAAAACAGAGAGATGAAAACAAACATACAAATCATTAATACATCCCATAGCCCCAATTAATGTTACTACCATCAAACTAACATTGAACAAATAGATATAAACAAGAGATTTAACCCTATTTACTATCCTAGAGGAACCATAAAGAACTGTGCATCTGTAACATTTTGAAATGGAAAAGTGAAGAGAGAGGGTCCATGAGGAAAAGACGAGTATTAAAAACGAACATTTGAAACAGGACTACCAATCCCACCCTACTGTCTGGAAGTATGATCTTAGTGGGGTCACTGGTTGCTATGGCAACAGCACAACGTTTGATGTAAGCACCATGGTCATTAAAATGACAATAGACAGAAAGCAAGGAACTGATGAGAGAAAACAGAGAGAGGAAAAGACAACATAAATCCTTTATTACAAGGCATTTCAACACATAGGAATCACACATTATGTCCTAGCTGGAATGATGCAGACCACCACACAGGAGCCAGGGCATTACATCATCACACCTGTGCACACCGCACTGACCTTGTCGCCATAGCAACCATTTTTTACCTGACATCACAGTCTGTGCGGAGATTCTGAGTGTAAATCATTCTGATTCGTCATTTTTATTGCGCGTTCTTTATTTGAGCAAATCACTGAGCAGTTCAATTAAAAGTTTAACGACTACCGCAGGCTCATAGATTCAAATAAAACCTGACTAGCCCGTCTCTAATGTGGCCTGTAAACTTATTTATTGCAATTCTGATTCATGAGCCAGCCTGAAACCACTGACTTCGAAGGGTGAGTAAAATTAATGCTGGGAAAACCAAAGAGGTAGACAGTATGTGGTAAAAACGGTCACATTTTCATAGTTTTTCCCGCCACATGTGGTCTATAAGAAACATAGACTGTATAAAAACAGGTAAGAAATAACTAACCAAAAGCGAGTGAACTGAAATGACAGGTAGGTGGATCATTCACGGGATAAAAAGCAGATTTCTTTGTTGTTTTACTGCCCCGTACGAGCTTGTATCTGATTAATAAACATGTTTAATATAATGTAACATGACATTAATATAACGTAACATTTAATTAAGTTCAAGGGAAAGTTTAACTCACCAAAAAATCAATAAACTAATGGAGAACGCAAAGCGCTCGCGCCCGGTGATCCCCCGAAGATGAGCACAAATCTGTACGTGCAATAACCGTAGAGCTCTTTTCCGCCGGTTTGACATTTGAATTTCGTTCAGTTTTGTTAGGAGCTGTAATATTTGGTCAATTTAAGTTCGCGGGAAACGAACAACGATGACGGAGCTCAGCCCTGGCACGGGCATCGTGATGTTTTGCGGGAATGGTGCGTTCTGAGGGGAGAAGCGTTTGCGGCCGCGCGCTCTGAGTCGTGAACGCGGCTGTCGCCTGACAGTTTGACACGTATGATGTCGTTGTCATAGCAACAAAGCAAAAGAGACGGGGGTGGGTGTCAGGGGTCTTGTGAGATATTCCCTCCTAAAGCATAAAAGAGATAGAACTTCATGGGAAAGGACTGAACAATGGGCACAGTTGAGTTAAGACATTGGGTTCACATTTCTGCGCATCCTTACCTCCCCAACACCTGCCTGAAGCACCTTTAGACCAGTCTCTGATTCTAGAAGGTTCTTTTGAGCCACTGCATGGCAAAAAATAAATGTGAAGACAGTCAAAGACAGCTTATTCTAATGTTTTCTCAGCATAAATATCATGCACGGCTTCAAGTAGCTTATTGCTATTATAAAGCTGCGGTAACAGCAATATGATAAAATATACCAATGTTCAATTCATATTTACATTAATTATTTATACTAGTCCTATATAGGCTTGGTACATTAATATAGAATTCAGCAAATGTGGGTCACATGTGTATGTATTCAGACATGGTGACAGTTTTGTGACATTAGTCTGGTCTTAAGGACAGCTATATGTTAGTGTACATCTAAATGCTGTCAAAATTGATTTTTCATACATATTTAAAACACAGGCTTTCGCTTCCAGAAACAGACAAAAATGCTGATGACTCATGCTGCACTCACTCATTTTGTCAAATCAAATGCTCTTTAGAATGAGAATGCCCTTCCCCCTAATAACACTTCTGACTAGTGGCAACAGTGTGGTAATATAAAATAAAAAATTAAAAGCCCTCTGTCATGCCCCAATGTCCTGTTTATGTCAAGACAACAAAACAAAGCCTATCAGGTCTTTAATTTTTACATTACTTTGCATGACTTTTGAGCCATTTTTGTGTCTCAGAAACACTTGTGTGACAGACATCACTCTTAATAGCCATGAAATATTTGTCTTCATTACTTAACCAGCCTTTTCGGACACCTCACTTGCTGTTAAATTCTGGCTGTTTGGGAGCACCCGGAAAGTGACAGCTGGACCAACCACACTGTAGAGCAGAATTTATTTTATCACATGCAAGTTTCCTGTATGATTGATTATGTGCAGGGTTTGTAATTAAATTTTTTTACTCACCAGCCAATTTGGCAACGAAACTTTTGGCCATTCACAACTTATATTATTGCTAATAAAACCAGATTATCAAAATTAAAGCTTAGATTTAAATATATGTATTATTAAATCTGACTCTGAATCGTTTAATGGCTCTTTTTTACGACCGTCAATCATTGTTTGTAGATACCGTAAAAATAAAATAAAATATAAACAAAATTCTGTGACTTTTCACATATTCAAATTGTAAATAAATTCCATGGTGTGGTGCTTCTCATCCATTGCGCAGTCGTTTTTAAAGTCACCATGAAATTTATATGTAATATTGTAGTGTTTATTATAAATGATTTATCTGTGCACTTCATTCTTTTTTTAAAATTCATGTGCCCTCATAATCTTTAATCAAATACGTTAACCTTCCCTCCCCCCTCAAAACGACTTCTCTTCTCTTCCTGTCATGTGCTATGGCGTGAGGGCGGGGCTATCGGGATCTGTCTCGTTTCTGCCTCCATTTTGTTAGCAACGCCCAACTTCCAACGATCCAATCATTTCCCGAAGTACGAAACCAAGCCCCACCCTGCATTTTTTCTCATTTCAGAAGCCGTTTCACTCAGATATACGTCACAATAGGAAAATAACTTCCGTTTCATGCCGACTTTAAGCTTTGTCTTGGAGGCTCATCTTAGGGGAAGGGCTCTGATAATGATGGCATGCAAAGTGATGACAATTTATGAATCATAACCTGCCAAATTGGCTAGTGAGTTTATATGCGTTACCCACCACGGTTGATTTTCATCTGCATTTGGCGGGTTGGTGGGCATTAATTTCAAACCCTGATTATGTGTATTAGATATTGGGATCCAAGCAATAAGAGGAGGACAATTAGTGGAGCAAATCCACTTTTGAGGCCAGTTCATTCCATTTCCTTTTCTCTCTCTCATTCTTTTCCTCTTAGCCATCCCCCTCTGTCCTCCAAGGACAATGGATCAAGGTTCCAGCTCACCACAATTTGATTTAGTAAAAAGGGTTAGTGGGATTAGCATTTGCTTCCTAACCAAATCAACAAACAGCAATCAAGACTGTTTGCATTGATAACATAATTATGTCAAATTAGTAATGCATTGGTTAAGCTAAGTTAGGTTAAACAGCTTGCCTCTGTAGAAATTCTGTGTTAGCAAATGCCTTTGCAAGCTTTAGTATAGGGTTAGTATACTTTCAAGATCTAATCAAGGCCCACCACCAAAGCAAAATCTGGGACTCTACTCAACTGCTAACACAGAACTCACGAAAACAACACACAAACAGACTCTCCACTGAATAGCCAGTTTGATGTGTGCCCCCAGGTCCTTCGTTAATGTAGTGTTTTGAAAACAAATACCACATGACTACTTTACTTTCAGACAAAAGGAACACTCACATAGACTACACGCGGTCAAACAGTCTAAACTGTTAGTTGTACCTCTGATTGGTGACAATGTATCCAAATTCCTCCTTTAACTTGGCTTCATTCTTTCCTGGTTTCACACTCAAGGTTCCTTTGCCAAGTCGTCCTTCCTCTTGTTTGAGAGATGCAGGCCCTAGTACACTAGCACCCAATGGGATGTAGTTATCCTGGGAGGCCCCTTGGGACCCTTTAGGGGAAATTTCAGGCCCGGGGTTGAATGGAGAAGGGAAGGAGGAATTTGTAGGCTGTGCAGAAGCCTTTTCCACCACATGGGTCATCTCTCCCTCTGTAATCTTCATCTGATAGAGCACATAAGACATGCCATGTCAGGTTAACTGCCTACAGATAATAAATTGTTCCATGTATAATGTACACTGAAAAAAAAAATCGGTGTAGAAATGACAAGTAACACATTGAATTAAACATGGAATTTTATAAGTAGAAAAACTGAATTAGTATTTTCTTGTAAAATGTACTTCATTAGTCTTTGTTTTATTTGCAACTTGGAAAAATAATTTTGTGTATAATGTTCCTCTTCCTAGTCTGTTCTCTCTTATTCTCTTTAAAAATGCTTTTGAGAGGGCAATAAGTCAGTGTCTGTTTATTTTCTAACCAACCATGATTATTGATGTAACAGGGCCGAAAGGGAGAGGAAAAGATATCATGTTGCAGCAGTACTAAAGCACCTAAAATACTGTGTGCAGAGATACACTAATGTTGGGTAAGAGGCCTAAAAGATAAAAGACCTACAGTACAAAACAAATCATACATAATCATGGCTCATGTTTCCCACATATAATTTATTTATGTTCGTAATTTTTTGTTTACACTTGCTGCCCCCTGCAGGTAATATATAGCATTACTATTGAGATTAACCCAACCTTGTAATATTACTAAATGCTGGAATACTCAGCACGACTTTTGTACAGATTTTTTTGCGCCAATTTACAGTTTGAACGAGTCAAAGCCAGTCTGCAGAGCTGACAGATTTCACAGTAAATTTCATAGTGTATGATGGGCACAGACTCCAGTTTTTAGCTTTAGACTATGATTCCATCCAGACGTCGGGATCAAACATGTTTGATATTTTGAGCCGATTTTTGGATACATTTTGTTTTCATTTGTCATGTGTCTCCTATAATTGTTTCTGTGTGAGTTTAGTTTTCAGAATTAACTCAAAGTCTGGTAGTGCATGATCCTCACTCATTTTAGGGCGTGATGTCCAGTTTTTCCTCTGTAACAATTTACAAGTTGGCAAGTGAATGTCTAATATTTTTAAAATCTATTCAGAATTTAAAAGTCAGGTAGAGTAGCCCAGCCTTAAATCACTTAACAGCAGAAACATTTTGATGCTCACCACTTTTGGAGACAGAGGAATCCTTTGTTTCAGCTGAGTGAATGAAAAGAAGCAGTTTATTTGACATTTTTTGGAGCTCCAACCATATGGTGTGTATATTTTGGAGTTGTATACTTATATTCTATAAAAAGTGAAATCTCAGGGTGCTCACGTTTTCTCTGATTGTTTGTTGGTTCGTTTTGCAGGAGCTGAAGGACAGTGAAAAGACGCTCAATCTCTTCAGGGTTCAGGTGGTTTAGATCAAATCCATGCTGCAGGAGCAGCTCATTTAGACTTTGTTGAGTGGGTCCTGGAGTCAGAACACATAAACATTAACACTATCGTTACCATTTTATTTTAAGGACCAATTGTCGCTATTAATTAGTTGCTTATTAGCATGCATATTACTAGCATACTGGCTTTTTATTAGTACTTATAAAGCACATATTAATGCCTTATTCTGCATGACCGTATTTTAGATCCCTTAATTCACCCCGTACCTAAACTTAGCAACTACCTTACTAACTATTAATAAGCAGCAAATTAGGAGTTTGTTCAGGGAAAACTCTTAGTTAATAGTGAATATGTGTTCCCTATTCTAAAGTGTTACCACACTATCTTACCACTGTGCCCAGAAAACACTCCATGCTTCTGAGGACCTTTCTTTTGCTCCTGTTGGCTGTTGATCTTTTCATCTGGGGAAAAGAAGTCCTTGTTATAGTCCTTGTAGTCAAGTAGGAAGTCCAGATCCTGGAAAAAAGATGAGGTGGAGTGAGGTGCTGCCACACGATGGCGTGATGTGGGCTGTGCAGGCGAAGAAAGGAGCAGAGTCATCAGATCCTGCAGAAGCTGATCATCTTTATCTAGAGATGGAGGAAGTGGTGAATTTCCCCTAATGCGAGAGGAGGCCGGTGGGTACCTGCCTCCCTCCACCAGGTTCAAAGAACGCTCCTCTTCATCTTGGTAACCATACAAGGCAAAAAGACATGATGCTGGAATTAAAGAGAAGTAGTTGTAGACTGTATCCAATGCTCCAAGCTACAATCAGTGCAGTGTAACAAAAGGGCTTTGTGTTTGGGCTCTCACTCGCTGGTAACTATAAGGATCCAGACTCTGCATATGGAGAGATGACTGAGGTGGATCGACAATCATGTAGTCCATATAGGGCTGTACCAGTTTGGGTTTGAGCTGGTTTGTAGGGCCACTCCGAGACCTTTGATAATGGAGATATTCAGAAAGAATCAATGCAGTGAAAGAAAAAGGAAAGTGAGAGAAACGTGATTACATGGCAAAATTGTAAATGTTACTCTGTGGATGGGCCATTCTTTATCCCAGAAGACAGTAGGATTTTCGGAACTTTGCTAAACTCTTTCTTAATCATTGATTGGGTGACATCATCTTGCCATGTTAATCCTGCAAAATAATTCACATCAGCTCAGAGCAACCAAAAAGGCTTATAATGTTTGTAGATGACAAAATAAGAATGTCCATGATAAAAGAAAAAGAAAAATCTAGTTTAAAACACGTATCAAGTTAGCTCTTTGTATTTGTTTTAGATTCTAACAATGTAATTTGTGGTAACCAGTAATAACATTGCATCTTACTAAAAGTAATAACATTATTTTCCTTACACCTTGTATACATATATATATATATATATATAAGTGCTGTCAATCAATTAAAAAAAGTAACGAATTAATCGCAAATTTTTCTGAAATTAATTGCAATTAATCCCAACTAACATTAAAGTTTTTAAATATATTTTTATATTGCAATAATTTCACATTAAATCTTCAAATTAATGTACAAACAACATAAAGACAGTATATTTTTAATGGCATCTTTTTTTTATGACTGAAGGCCAGTATCAATGATACCAATACTGACTTCTCTATAAAATATTTAATATTTAACTAATATTTAACCATTGACTATAGCCATTCAACATTACAGTATAACTGAGAGCTATCAATTTTAACATTTATTAGACTTTAAAAAATAACCTCTAATTTAAGTGAACTTAAAACAATCTTCACATAAACCTATTATAATAAATGTAATATTTACCTGTGCTCTTCAGCAGAAGAATTTAAATGATCAAACACTAAATTAAATATAGATGAATCCTTAAAGCTATAAAAGTTCTTTTTTTCCTCTTTTTTTTTCTTTGTCCTTTGATTAATAGACATCACAGCAGCTGGTTATTAGGTTGTTTTGGCTGCTATTTCTTTGACCCACTTCAGGACTTAAAGTCTCTATTAATGAGCTGATGAGTTAAATCGGGTGTGTTAGATGAGACAGTGCTGGGCTGCTCCAGGACAGTTTTGAAAACTATTTCAGAGACATGTTCATAATGTGACTCATATAAAATATATTACAGCATGCGCTGCGAGCACAGTACCGTTTCCGCGCTCGCTTGACTCGCACCTGGCGCTGAAGCAGGGCTCCAGACTAACATTTGAGAGCAGTGGCACCAGCGCTACTAAGTTCTACAGATGGTGGCGCCAGGAGCAGATTTGGTAGCGCTGGGGGGGGGGGTG